CATCAACACCACTTCGGAAAACCAGAGCTTTCACAATACATGTTGTGCCCTGGCGTGTCCTTAGATGATATGTTGCTGCCCCCACGGTTGACCCGACTGGTGTCCCACGGGTTGTCCCATTGGACGCCCCGTTGGTTGACCCGATGGTTGTCCCAATCGGTGAATCGGAGGTTGGGGGGTGTGAACGGAAGTGGCCCCACCAGGGAAATCGCTTTCGGTCTCCGTTCGTATCGTGCGTGCGGGTGGGGCGAAGCTGCGCGAGTTCCCGAACTGGTCGAGGCCACATGGAGCCCCAACAAACTCGTCCGCCCCCCCCGCCCCCCCCCGGCCGGGCGCGGTCCCCGATGGATGTCCCGCGGGTTGTCCCGATGGTTGTCCCGATGGTTGTCCCGATGGTTGTCCCGATGGTTGTCCCGATGGTTGTTCTGATGGTTGTTCCGATGGTTGTCCCGATGGTTGTCCCGATGGTTGTCCCGATGGTTGTCCCGATTATTGTCCCGATGGTTGTCCCGATGGTTGTCCCGATGGTTGTCCCGATGGTTGTCCCGATGGTTGTCCCGATGGTTGTCCCGGTTGTCCCGATGGTTGTCCCGATGGTTGTCCCGATGGTTGTCCCGATGGTTGTCCCGATGGTTGTCCCGATGGTTGTCCCGATGGTTGTCCCGATGGTTGTCCCGATGGTTGTCCCGATGGTTGTCCCGATGGTTGTCCCGATGGTTGTGGTTGTCCCGATGGTTGTCCCGATGGTTGTTCCGATGGTTGTCCTGATGGTTGTCCCGATGGTTGTCCCGATGGTTGTCCCGATGGTTGTCCCGATGGTTGTCTCGATGGTTGTCCCCATGGTTGTCCCCATGGTTGCCCTGATGATTGTCCTGATTCCGATTGTTGTCCCGATGGTTGTCCCGATGGTTGTCCAGGTGGTTGCCCCGATGGTTGTCCCGATGGTTGCCCCAGTGGTTGTCCCGGTGGAAATCCCGATGGTTGTCCCGATGGTTGTCCCGATGGTTGTCCCGATGGCTGTTCGGATGGTTGCTCCGATGACTGTCCCGATGGTTGTCCCGTCGGTTGTCCAGATGTTTGTCCCGACGGGTGACCCCATAGAGCGGCCGACAGATGGATAGATAGATTAACCGAGAGGTAGATAGATAGATAGATAGATAGATAGATATACACATAGGTAGGTAGGTAGGTAGACTGTTTGATGTGTCGACTCGATGGACAGACAGATACATGGACAGATGTATACATAGAAACATGGGAAGATACTTAGAGTAGTTAGATCGAAGCAGGCGGAAACAGGTGGTATGTATTTGCCCGCGCTCTCTTTGGTCATGGCAGGTGGAAGCCATCGTGCATCGACCGCCTCCCCCTTCCCCGCCAACCTCCTTATCACCCTTAGAGTGGTCCTATCGGTTGTAGGAAGATCTGTAGACATGTCAATCGTGGGAACGATACACAGATAGCGAGATCAAAAACAATTGTTCATTGGAAGCGGTTATCCCGATGATTGTCCAGATGGTCTACGATGGAAACGGTTGCCCCGATGGTTGTCCCACTGGTTATCCCGACGACTCGTGTGCACATAGATCGGCATAATCAATATAGACAGATGTAGTGAAGGATGCATTGCGAAACCGTCACATGTGTTGTAGCAAGATCAAGAAATAATGCATCGTATCTATCTGCGCGCGCTTCGCGCGCGTAGGTTCTAGCGCAATGCAAGCCAACCTCCCAAGATCAACATTGGATGGGCATCGTCCCGCGAGGATCACAATACGAGCGTACTTTCTGATGGACGCTTCAGGACTGGCTGAATAAGGCTCCAGGAAGTTGCGCAAGGCAGCCACGAGGAGGACCCAGGACAACCTAAAGGGGGATGCCCGAGAGCCCCGAAGAGCCTGGCAAAACCACAAACTCATCCGGTGCCAAACTCATCCAGAGCCAAACTCATCCAGGGCCAACATTATCCGGTGCCAAACTCAAAACCAAATTCATCCAATGCAAAAATCATCCGGTGCCAAACTCATCCGGTGCCAAACTCATCCGATGCCAAACCCATTCGGTGCAAAAAAAATGCCAATCTCAACGCCAAACTCATCCAATGCCAAACTCATCTGGTGTGGAACTCATCCGGTGCCAAATTCGTCCGGCTCATGTATATCTGATGCCTGGCTCATTTGATGCCTACCTCATCCAATGCCGAATTCTTCTAATGCATCTGGTCGCGGTTCACCCGAACCGCGGATCGGATGAGTCGGAGCGGATGAGTCGCCATCGGATGAATCAGCCAGTCTCCAGCCGACGCTAAATCGGCGCTACATCGGCGCTTTTCTCGGGTCGGGCGAAAGGGGGGGATAGCAAAGGGGGGGTTTGAGAATCAGCTCACGTAGCTGATTTTCCCGGCGCCTCCCGGCGCCAGAGGCGACTATGTATCGAGGAATGGGCCCCTCGGTGAGGCCGAAATCAGCTGCATGCGGCAAATTTCGTAACCCCCCCTTTCCCAATCCCCCCCTTTCGCCTGGCCCGATTTTCTACCGACTGCCAGACGCCAGCGCACGATAGTGCAATCTGCAAGACTTGCGAGGACAGACGAGGCTCCCACCATGTGCTGCCGAACGTGCTGCGGTCCACGCGCGAAGCCCCGTGGAGCACGCAGTGACTCTCCGCCGGCGCGCTGGGGCACGCTTTTTTGGCTGCCTGTTGGCAAGGCCACCCAATTTCGCGCAGCGCGCCCGCGATACGCGATGATCTTCGCGCCATCGCACCCTCGCGACTGGACGCCCGAAATGGGTACGGAAAGAATGGGCACGATGCCCCACAACAAATGATGCCCCGAACCGACAGCGGCCGCTGTTGGGCAGGCGGCCTTCTGTCTCGAGTGGACACAATCCGCGGCGACGCAGACAGCGAATCCGGCTCAAAATGAACAAGAACTGCCGTTGGTCTCTGTACCCATCCTTTCCGTACCCATGTCGGTCGTCCAGATCGTGTCGCCCCTCCTCGAGAAGTGGGTGCCTCTCCGGCCCGGACCACGGCGAGCGAACCTATAGGTCGTCTTCGCGCCCCCTCGGTGGACCTGGATAATCGAACTGCCGCAGTGAGGAATGCGAAATAGGGAACGAGGCCCCTTTGTTGGGCCTGGGTCCACGAGGAGGGCGAGAGGAACAGCGATGGAATGACATGAGGAACAACGAGCCCCTTCCGAAACCAAAACGGTCCTGATTTCAACGTCTTGCCTGCAGATAAGCTGCCTGGCAACATTTCGGAAATATTCTTGCGCGGGCGACCCCCTCCGCTACGAGGAGGCCAGGAAACCGCACGGCGAAAGGACCCCCAGAAGCTCCAAGATGTCCCCAAGCAGGGCCCGCGATGCGCCGCGTAAAAATGTACACATTCTCCCTCTGACGAGCTTTGCATGTACCTTCAAAGGGAGGTGGCGGTGCATAAATTCGTTGGCTCTCAGTGGTGATTTAATACACCGTCACCCTCTCCTGAGGCCCAGGAACAATACATTGGATGGTGTCTGCGTATTACTTTTTGTGGCGGGCACGAAGCCCTCAACAAGCTTCCGAGGCGTCCCGCGGCAGTCACCGGGACACGAACACAAAGCACAGCCCTGGAGACTTGTTCTTGCTGCTGCTTCGATGCTTTTCAAACCTTGGGGAACACCGCTAGAGGACCCACTTCGACCCAAGGCGGCCCAAGAACCCCCCAAGACGGCCCACATCCGCCCCAAGAAAGCTGCAACGACGGCTTGAAGAACCGAACTCACCACCCCAGGACGGCTCCCCGAGCAGCAGCTCCGAGACAGCACGGTAAAACCATGAGCCTAAGACGGCCCCGAGACGCGGGAGAGGCTCCCAACATGCCCTGAACAGACTCCCGAAAGCCTTCAAGACCCCCAACAGGTCCCAGACAGGCCCAGCCAAGAAGCGTCGACGAGGCCTTGAAGAGGGAGACGAATGGGGGGAAGACGAGGAATGGTTGAGCAGAAGGAGAACGTTGTGTCAAAAGTGGGGGTGTTTGAAACCATCGCGAGATCTGACAAGGCACTGCACTGGAGCGGATCTAAAATCCCTTCTCCATCTTCTCCTCCTCCTCCATTCCTTCATCATATTCCTAGCTCCTCCCTGTCGCACCCCGAGTCCGGTAGAAAGGGCGGGCCCAGCGTTTCGCGGTGAAATTCCCCACCATTTATGAACCTGAGGCTTGAGATTTACAGCAGCTTCACGGATGGCCCTCGCCTTAGCGCCGCGCGCACTCGTCTTCAAGCATTGCAAGAGCTTCGCGGATGGAGGGCGGTCCATTTTCAAAAGGTAGCTCTTGCCTTAGCGCCGCGCCTCTTCAGTTTAAAAGTTTGCTAAGGTTTCTCGGATGGAGGGCGGTTCCTTTGCAACAAGTGGTTCTCGCCTTCGCCGCGCACATAAGTGTTCAAGGGAGTGCAAGAGTTCTCGCATGGTGAACGGTTCCTTCTGAACATGTGCCCCTCGACTTAGCATCGCGCACATTTATCCCAGGAGCTTGCAGCACTTCAAAAGACTCCCAAGATATACGTACCTAACATCATGGTTGGGCACGATGTCGGAATGTCAGGACGCAGAACTTACGTTGATTCGCGGAGATGAAGTCCCAAGAGTGTCGTCCTGGCACGATTGAGGATCGTCAAGACGCAGCAATAACGGTGATTCGCAACATTGAAGCCCCAGAAATGATGGTATGGCGCAATTCTGGATTTTCACACGGCTGTCTTCCAACGGGGCATTTCACTCAGAGAAGATGGATCCGTGGAGGGGCCTATGAAGATGGAGCTTAGAGGGAAGGTTTAATGCAATATCGTTGATGGGTCTTGGCCTTATGCTGGTCCTCCTCTTCCTCCTCCTCCTCCTCCCTGCTGCGCTGCTGCACTAGCTAAGTCTGCTACAAGCAGCTGGAGATTTGCCAATTTGCAAATAAGCATGAAGGAGGCAGGAAAATAGGCGGGCGGCAGGCCAGACTTGCGCCTATCCAGCGGTGGCGGTACCAGCCACGATGTGGTGCAGGGCTCCCCCGGGTAGCTTGGTATTATCGTCGTGGAGCTGCGCCAAGCTGCGTGGCCGGAATGTCATTGGCGATACCTGCCGGTTCATGTGGCCGCAGACGGCTGCTGAAGAAGACAGGCTGCCTTCTGACCTGGGCGAGTCTGCGCCGTCCAGGCGCAGCTCTCGCATCTCCGCCTCGCGGCGTTTCTCCAGCGCCCGATTGTGCTTGGCGTGCAGGGACCGCACCGCCTCGTGGAATCTCTTCCTGTCTACGCGGAGCACCTCCGAGCACTCCAACACCACCACGGTTTCTCTGCTCTGCACCGTCTTCCCGAGCTCGAAAAGGCAATGCTCGTCCACGATGGTCGGGCGGCTGCAACTCCGGCTCGACGACAACGACCACGACTTCACCATTGTGGAGACCTGGCTGTTCCGCGAGTGCGCGTAGACCTGCAAGCCCCCCCCCATGAGCACGTACGCGGCCTCGGCGTCGTGGTCCCTCTCTGCAAGCTTATCGCCGGGCAGGTAGTCTACGACATCGGTGGCATCGCAAACCTGTTGCAAGGCTGAGTCCATCCAATTGTATAGCTGCGGGATCCTTCTGAGGTAATGTACTCTGTGTGCCTGGCTCAGCTTCCGCCTCAGGTTCTCTGGCAGGGCGCCCAGCAGGCCCATCTCCTTTGTGTGTGTTGTTGTTCTTGTGTTTCAGTTTTGTTTGCTGTTTGTTGTTGTTGACTGTTGAAACCCAGCTCCTTGGCGTGGAGCTTCCTCTTATTGAAGAGGTGGCTCAGGTATGTCTGCGTCTGCGCCCGCAGAGCATCCCCGCAATTCATCGCTCTCAGGTGCATGCGGACGCACGCCATCTCCTCCTTGAACGCGTCCCTGCGCGCGCCAAACCTGAACCAAGCCTGAGTCATACGGGTGATGTTTACGGCGAAGGCCATGACGGCGAAGAACATGAAGAGAAGGACGAATACCCTCTCTGTCAAGTTCACGGGCGTGACCTCGGCCGGCATGGTTCGCATGACTCCTAAGATCCAATAGAAACAGAACACATATTGTTCCGACGCAGGCCTGTCCACCCATCTCCACTGCCCGAAATCATCGTCCACGCTGTGCACGCGCGGCAGCTCCGTCCAGTGAAGCTCATTGGTGCTGTCGCCCTGCATCGTGAGGACCATCACCAGACTGTCCCTCTTGCCAACCATCCACCAAACGCAGGCGCCCCAGTGGCAGATTGCAGTCCAGATGCCAAGAACCTTCAACATACTTACCACATTCAAGACGGTGATCGATCCGACCTGGGCCTCCAGACGATCCCAGATGACCGACACCTTGGCGAGGCGTAACATCCTCAGTAGCCTAAGAAGCCGCGTCAGCTTGATAATCTTGGTAAGCTTTGCAAGTTGGCCCGCCGAAGACGTATCTGTCTCTCTGGTCTGCTGGAAAAGATCTACGACTTCGGCCCACGGCACAGTGCTCAGCATATCTATCCAGAACCATCCGCGAAGGTAGCGGATTGCAACGCTGGCCCTGTCGGTGACAAGGGTCCCCTCCTGCCGATTCGGGTCGTCCTTGCCTGCAAGATAGCCGGTGAAGAAATTCAGCACCACGTCGCACAGAAAGACTCCGACCGTGAACCAACGCCAGAAATCATCGAATCCGGGCTCGGTGTGAAATTCTGCCAGCTGGAACGGCAGAACGACGCTGTCGCACAAGATCAGCAACATTACCCCCAGATCCCAAGCCTGCCTTGGAGACCAGGCCGGGTTCAACATACCGCCGATGCACGCTGAGGAGGCCTGCTTCTCGCTGACCACCGAACCCTTGCGCCGCGTGAGGTAAGTGGTGTCTACGGTGGCCGACACAGTGACCTCATCGGCGGACCCGCGTTCACTTGCGAGGCATTCGGGCACCCCAGAGTTCATCGATATGCGCTGCCAGAAACTCCCGTCGGTGATGTGGTGGCTGCACTGCGACATTTCGCCGGCTTTGCCCAACATGGGATTGACAACGGTCGTCGCTGGAGGCTTCTCGGCGCCAGCATCGGTGGCGTCCACAGGGGGATCGGATTGGAGATCTCCGATCGCGACTTCGACCTTGCTGATCGCCCCCTCCAGAAGCTCCTTTTTAAGGGGAAACTATCTGAACATTAGCTTTCGGAGGTCCGCGCGGATCTCTTGGATCGGCTGCCGCGCGGATCGGGCGTTGCTAATGGGGGGGTGCTAATCGGGGGGGGGGGGGGGAAAGGTACCCGCCAGTCGGAAGAACTACGTCGAAACAGAAAATATAGGAAGGGCCAGCCTTAACAACAAGCAAGCCAACAACCGCTTGAAAAAGATTGGGGTGTGGATATCCGGAAATACTTACTTTCAACGACCGGCGTTTACACGTTTCGCACACCGTCGGGGCCCTTGTGGGCACTGCCCCTCTCCCGCAAGCTGCGGCTCTGGATCCTCCCCGTTTACCGCCCCCGATTACGAAACGCCTGAGCGGACCGCGGCAGAAGGGCGCCACCAGGGGGGGGGGCGGCCAGCGCCGACTCAAGAAACCCGCGCGGACCTCCGACAGCATGTGCCTACAGGGGTCAGAAAGATGCGCCACCGTGCATCTGGCGCAAAGTGGAGTGCCCCAAGACTCTTGCAGCCCGAGAGGTAAGGGTTTGAACATTACTCTAGGCCCCCAGTTTCCAGGGCGCTCTGGGGCGATGACAGTCGCTGCCAAGGTTTCTCGCGTGGGCCTCCGGTACGGTCCCATCGCTTAGGAGGGCCCATACACGGGCCAAGAGAGGAAGATCACTCCAAGACGCTCAGATGGCTTCCAGACGTCCCAAGAAACCTCGAAGACGCCCCAAGATGCCTCCAAGAGCATTCTCAACATGGCCCCAAGGCAACAATCATTGATTTTCCACTGAAGGTGTTGGCTGATTTTGGCGTTCTCGCCTTTTCGGCTTCCCGATGCTCCATGACGGGCCAAGAGGCCCCCAAGATCGTCCCAAGACAGCCGAAGAGTCCTCCAACAGAGCCCCAAAACAGCCTAAGAGGGCCTCAACACGGCCCCCCAAGAGGCCATCAAGACGGCCCGCAAGGTTTCTAAGACGGCTCCAAGAGGGGCCCAGACGGGGGACTCGAACGGACAGATCGAGTCGTCGGCCCCTAGAAGCCCCAAGAATTCCCAAGAGGCCCCCAAGAAGCCCCCAAGAGGCCCCAAGAGGCCCTCAAGAGGCCCCAAGAGGCCTCCAAAACGCTGGCCAAGAGGTCCCCAAGAGGCCCCCAAGCAACCCCCAAACTTCCCCCCAAAGGCACCCGAGAGCGCTCCGACGAGACCCCACGGGGCCAATCCAGCCGTGGCGACGACGGCTCTCCAGGACGAGCAGCGGTATCGCAATATGTACCTCCTCTGCTTAGCCGCCCCGATACGTAACACGCAACCAGTAGCGTGTTGACACGGAGCTTAACACGTAAATCGAAAACGCACGTTTGGCGCAATACGTTCGCCTCAAACGTGGGCCAACACGTTAAGCCAACAAACAGCGTGTTGACACAGACAATTTGGACACGGTAGGTGCTGCGTCCCAAAACGGACTTATCAAGGCAGCGAGGCTTCTCTGAGCTCATGTCAACCTTTGGTCCCCTGGCCCTGGCGTCCGCGCGCGTGGAGTCTGGGCACAGGTCCAGGGCGCTTCGCACCAGGCCCACCTGCACGTCCAGGGCCCTGGCGAGGGCCCGCAGGTGCGCCTCGAACGCCTCGGCCGACGGAGCCGCGGGGCGCTCTGTCATGGCCAGCCGCAGCTGCACCCGATCGGCAGCTACACCGCTGGCGGAGGTGCGCGGACGCGTCGGCGGGCGGCGGCAGCGCCCGAGCCTCTCGGGCCTGCGAGGCAGTGCGGACAAGACGAGGAGGAAGACGAAGAGTGAGGCATGGAGGCGGAACTCCTGCTGAATCCATGCGTGTCTGTAGCTGCTCTTGGATGTTGCACCTGCCGCCCACTCGTTGGGCCGAGGCGCAGCATCCCATGAGCAAACAATGGCGGAAATGGCCCCGATCAAAGGTTCCGCCAGACCAGACCAGACAGAGACGGGGGGGATAAGGTTGGTCATCCACCGCCAGCGGCCCCAATCAGATGCGACAGAGGGTAGCCGCACGAGGTCTTTAATGGAGAGACCCCCCCAAAGCTCTCGGCAAGGAATAATCATCGAACTCCTCCTCGCCCATGTTGGAGAAACTTTTGCAGTACTAGAAGTAGTCGTCCTCGTCGTAGTACCAGTGGTGGTGTGGTGGTAATACTAGTACTAGTAAAACTGTAGTAGCAGTGGTAGAAATATAAATAAAAATTATACTAATGATACTACTACTAGTAATAAAACATAATATTAATAATACTATTAATACTATAAAGTGTAGTCTTAATGGTAGGTAGTAGCAGCAGCAGCAGCAGCAGTAGTAGTAGTAGTAGTAGTAGTGGTAGTAGTAGTAGTAGTAGTAGTAGTCGTAGTCGCAGTAGTAGTAGTAGTAGTAGTAATAAAGGTTACACTCGCAATAGAAGTAGTAGTGGTCGTGGTACTAGTAGCAGTTGTATACGTAGTAATAATAGTAGTAGTAGTAGTAGTAATAGTAGTAGTAGTAGTAGTAGTAGTAGTAGTAGAAGTAGTAGTAGTAGTAGCAGAAGAAGTAGTAGTATTAGTAGTAGTAGTAGTAGTAGTAGTAGTAGTAGTAGTAGTAGTAGTAGTAGTAGTAGTGGTGGTGGTAGCAGTAGTAGTAGTAGTAGAAGTAGTAGTAGTAGTAGAAGTGGTAGTAATAGTGGTAGCAGTAGTAGAGTAGTAGTCGTCGTCGTAGCAGCAGTAGTAGTAGTAGTAGTAGTAGTGGTAGTTGTAGTAGTAGGTGTAGCAGTAGTGGTAGTAGTAGTAGTAGCAGCAGTAATAGTAAATATAATAATTGTAGTAGTAATAGTAGTAGCAGCAGTAGTAGTAGTAGTAGTAGTAGTAGTGAAAGAAATACTAGTTGTTGTCGTAGTAATAGTACTAGAAGCAGTAGTCGTAGTAATGGTCGTACCCATTGTACTAGTAGCAATACCAGAAGCAGCCGTGGTATCAACAATACCGGTAATAGAGAGAAACAATAATAGAAATCGTAGTCGTAGTCGTAAGTCGTAATGGCGATAGTAGCAGACGTAGTGGTAGTAATCGTGGTAGTTGTGCTAGTTGTGGTAGTAGTAGCGGCAACAAAATAGTAGTAGCAGTGGTAGTCGTAGAAATAGTGGTCGTGGATACAATGCTCAGGGTACGAGTAGTCGTAATAGTAGTATTACTAGCCGCTGTAGTAGAAGAAGTAGTAGCGAAAGTAGTAGCAATTGTAGTAGTAGTAATAGTAATAGTAAAAGTAGTAGTAGTAGTTGTAGTAGTAGTAGTAGTAATAGTAGTAGTAATAGTAGTGGCAGTCGTAATAACAGTAGTAGTAATAGTAGTAGTAGTGGCCGTGGTACTGGTAGCAGTTGTATACGTAGTAGAAGTAGTAGTAGTAGTAGTAGTAGTAGTAGTAGTAGTAGTAGTAGTAATACTAGTAGTAGTAGGAGTAGTAGTAGTCGTGGAGTAGTAGGAGTAGTCGTAGTAGGAGTAGTAGTAGTAGCAGTAGTCGTAGGAGTAGTAGTAGTACAATCGAAATAGAAGTAGTAGTGGTCGTGGTACTAGTAGCAGTTGTATACGTAGTAGTAGTAGTAGTAGTAGTAGTAGTAGTAGTAGTAGTAGTAGTGGTAGTAGTAGTAAAGTAGTAGTAGTAGTGGTAGTAGTAGTAGTAGTAGTAGTAGTAGTAGTAGTAGGTAGTAGTAGTAGTAGTCGTAGTAGTAGTAGTAGTCGTAGTAGTAGTAGTAGTAGTAGTAGGAGTAGTAGTAGTCGCCGTAATATTATTATCATTATTAATAGTAGTAAGAATAGCAAAAAGAGTAGTAGTGGCAGTCATAATAGTAGTACTGGTAGTAGTGGTAGTAGTAGTAGTAGTAGTAGTAGTAGTAGTAATGGTAGTAGTGGTCTTGGTGCACAAATAAGGCAATACTAGTTGTCGGCATAACAGTAGTAGCAATAGCAGCGATAGTAGTAGTACTGGTCGCAGCAATCGCAGTAGTAGTGTAGCAGTAGTGATAGTAGTAGTCGTAGTAGTAGTAGTAGTAGTAGTAGTAGTAGTAGTAGTAGCAATAACAGTAGTAGTAATACAAAAAGAAACTTGTGAACGTAGTCGGAGTCGTAGAAGGGAAAGTAGAAATGGACATGGTAGGAGTAGTAGTGATAGTCGTGGTAGTCGGAGCAACAGTGGTGGTAGTAGTAGTAGTAGTAGTAGTAGTAGCAGTAGTCGTGGTAGAAGTTATAGTAGTAGGTGTATTAGTGATAGCCGTAGTCTTAGTAGTAGTAGTAGTAGTAGGACTAGTAATAGTAGTAGTGGTAGTAGTAGTAGTAGTAGCAGCAGCAGTAGTAGTAGTACGAGTGGTAGTAGTAGTAGTAGTAGTAGTAATAGTAGTAGTAGTGGTAGTAGTAGTAGTAGTAGTAGTAGTGGTAGTAGTAGTAGTAGTAGTAAAAGTAGTAGTAAAAGTAGTAGTAGTAGTAGTAGTAGTAGTAGTAGTAGTAGTCGTAGTAGTAGTAGTAATAGTAGTAGTAGTAGTACTAGTAGTAGTAGTAGTAGTAGTAGTAGTAGTAGTAGTAGTAGTAGTAGTAGTAGTAGTAGTAGTAGTAGTAGTAGTAGTAGTAGTAGTAGTCGTGTGTTAGTCGTAGTAGTAGTAGTAGTAGTAGTAGTAGTAGTTGTAGTAGTAGTAGTAGTAGTAGTAGTAGTAGTAGTGGTAGTAATAGTAATAGTAGTCGTCGTCGTAGTGGTAGGAGTAGTAGTTGTGATAGTGGTAGAAGTCATGGCAAGAGGAGTACAACTACTGGTAGAAGTAGTAGTTGTACGTGTAGGAATACGAATGCGTAGTAGTACAAATGCTACTAACCATGGGAATGTTAAAAAACAGTAAACATAAACGTGCATGTAAGCGTGCAGCTCGATGAAGGCAACAACTACAACAACGATGAAAAAGGCGGGGGCCGCATTCGGCACCAACCCGTCAATAACCCAACGCAACAAATAATTCATTCCTATCGTGACGAAAAAACATGGAACAAAGACCCTTCGCGGTTAGAAGGATCGACCGTGATCCTGACCCTCTTGGAACGAGGTCCCCTACCGAGCTGCTTCCATAAGTTGCTGTATGCCGGTGAAACGACGAGAAGAAATGTGTTTTACACGCGGGCCGCCAGCGGGAAACGCTACATTGAAGCGAGGGTGCTTACGCGCGACCTTACGCGGCAACTTATTCGCGAATGTCGGCGCAGTCGGCGTCGTGTTCTTGCGTCTCTCAGCTGGAGCACTTGCGCGAAATGGGGGAAAACACCGGCTCAAAACCTCACACAAATCATATCCGGGTCCAGGGTGGCAACATCCAGCCAGATCGTGCATGTCTGGCGTGCCGATGAAAACCCACATGGAGGCCCAACCTGTAACGCCACAGCGGGGAGGTCGTCAGCATTGCACGCGTCATGCCCAGATGGCCCCATGTTGCCCATGATACCCTTCGAAGGCACAGTTCTGACAAGTTCTATGCCCGCCGGTTGCAAGAAGTGGGTCGAAACATAAAGTAGGAAGGGAACCTATCCGGACAAGAACGGGAAGCGCGCCGCTTCTTTTAGCTTGCGTGCGCAGGCAAACGGATTCCCACGTAAAGCTGAAGGCGTCCCGAAATCGGTGTATAAGTATTCAGTTGGTCCCGAACTCGCTAGATAAGTATTCGGTGGGTCCCGAAATCGCAATATACGTATTGCGTGGACCCCGAAATCGCTATAAAATATTCCGTGGGTCCCGAAGTCGCTATATAAGTATTCCGTGGGTCCCGAAATCGCTATATAAGAATTGCGTGGACCCCGAAATCGCTATCTAAATATTGCGTGGACCCCGAAGTCGCTAAAAAAGTATTCCGTGGACCCCGAAATCGTTGTATAAATATTGCGTGGACCCCGAAATCGCTATACAAATATCCCGTTGGTCCCGAAAACGCTGTAAAGTATTCCGTGGGTCCGGAAATCGATATATAAGTATTGCGTGGACCCCGAAATCGCTATATAAATATCACGTTGGTCCCGACGTCGCTATATAAGTCGCTGTGGGTTCCGGAATCGCTATATAAATATTGCGTGAACCCCGAAATCACTATGTGAATATTCCGTTGGTCCCGAAGCCGCTACATAAGTATTCCGTGGGTCCCGAAACAGCTATGTAAGTATTGCGTGGACCCCGAAATCGCTATATAAAGGACCCGTCCGAATGCATTGCTTGGAGGGTGTCTCGAGCGAAACGCGGATTATTCGACGAAAGTGTTAAAAACATTTGGGTTTTTCAATAGTTTTGCTTCTGGGTCTATCTTGGGGGTCATCCGAGATCGCTCCGAAAAAGATGCCTTACAAGAGTTGTGTCGGCGTCTCATTGTTTCGAGGATGTCTTGGGCGAAACGCCCATTTTTCGAGGATCGAAAATTAGGCGAGCGATTTCAAGATCTCCATTGTTGGGGGATGTCTCAAGCGAAACTCTCACTGTTAGCAAAATACGTTTGAAGATACGACCCCCAACTTCACGATTCTGCGAGGATGTCTTGGGCGATACGCCCATTTTCGAGGATCCGAAAATTAGGCGAGCGATTTCAAGATCTCCATTGTTGGGGGATGTCTCGAGCGAAACGCCCATGTTTAGCAAACTACGTCTTAAG